TTGTTCAGTTTTCATTTAGGATATTTTATTTGGTTGAAGGAGGAGGAGGAGAAATGTTCAGAATTTTTTTAAACTTTTGCGATTTTTACCCAAGGAAGCTACATTTAAATAGCGCTTTTCTGTTAGGAATCTTTACAAAACCATACCCCAAAGAAATAAAATATTTGATGATACATATTTTAACTGCAGCATGAATAACATATGCAAAAAACTGGAAATAGGAAAAAATCCCAACTGAAGAAGATCTAATAGATAAAATCTTAGAATGCGCTGAAATGGACAAATTAACAAAAGAAATTAAAGAAAAAGAAGAGACAGATTACTACAGAATATAGAATAAATGGTATAATTGGTTTAACACTATCTATAAAGAAATATTTATTTATTTATTTATTTATTTATTTATTTATTTATTTATTTATTTATTTATTTATTTATTTATTTATTTATTCAATTTATATACCGCCCTTCTCCTAGTGGACTCAGGGCGGTGCACAGCCAAAACTAAAATACATAACAATACAAAATTTAAAATTAATTAAAAGAATTATATACTTTGGCCTGAATTAAAACAGTGCGAATTAAAACCCATTAACAAATTCAAACTAATCAATTAATAACCATTAAAAACTAAAAAAGGGGGCAGGGTTCACGCCAGCCCTGCTTGCTGGAAAAGAAGAGTTTTCAGGGCACGGCGAAAGACCCGGAGATCCGATATCCTTCTTATCTCCGGGGGCAAATCGTTCCAGAGGGCGGGAGCTGCCACAGAGAAGGCACTCCCCCTGGGGGTCGCCAGCCGACATTGCCTGGCCGACGGCACCCTGAGGAGTCCCTCTCTGTGGGAGCGTACTGGTCGGTGGGAGGCTATCGGCGGCAGAAGGCGGTCCCACAAATACCCAGGTCCTATGCCATGGAGCGCTTTAAAGGTGGTAACCAACACCTTGAAGCGCACCCAGAAGACCACTGGAAGCCAATGCAGCTCACGCAGGAGAGGTGTCACATGGGAGTGACCCCTTGTTCCCATAATCCCCCGCGCGGCCGCATTCTGCACCAGTTGGAGCCTCCGGGTACTCCTCAAGGGGAGCCCCATGTAGAGAGCATTGCAGTAGTCCAGGCGGGAAGTGACGAGTGCCTGAGTGACTGTGCGTAAGGAATCCCGATCCAGAAAGGGACGCAACTGGCGAATCAGGCGGACCTGATAAAAAGCCCCCCTGGCCACGGCCGTCATATGCTCTTCTAAAGACAGCCGTGCATCCAGGAGGACGCCCAAGTTGCGAGCTTTTCTTATGCTACTACAAAACCATTCCTAGATTGCCAGATTGGGAAAAGCTAGTGTATGTTTATAAGATAATTGAAAAGTATAGATTTAAAAACAGAGTCTATCCCCAATATTTAGAATGACACAACCCCCGAGTGTGCCAATGAACAAAAAGGCCTTTGAATGTACATATGTAGATGAACTTTGCCTCAAACAGAGATACACCACTGATACCAGAAGGAAACCAGGAAATGACATATACCAACACTTCCCAGGTTCATCTCTCTCCAAAAGAGCATTTTATTGCTCATCTTCACAATTTTTTTTCAGTTCTTATTGTCAATCCTGACTCGGTCTTGCAAAGGATAAAGAAACAAAATCAAAAAGCTCATTCCAAAAAAAGACAAATATTAGAATCCACTGAAAATGCTTGACTAGTGTCAAAACCTTTACTTGAAATCACCATCACCCACCATAAGCCCCCATGACTCAGCTGCACTTTGCACACTTGAACTCTAAGTGTTCATAAGAAGCTACATTGAGCATGCTCAGTTATGGTTGCTTAAAAAAAATAAATAAAAAACTAACATACTTCTGAAATCAGCAATGCATTTTTCCTGACTTTAGAACTTTTATACTGAACGGAGATGGGGAAGCTTGAACCCAAAGGTCATTCTCTCTCTCACCAACTGAAGAAACATTTGCAGTAAATTCTCTAGGTGCCATTGTTAAGGGTCTTTTAGGGAAGGCTTTATCCCTGGCTCCTTGAAGCTGCTGTTCCCTAGGAGCTGGATGACATCTCCAAAGGTGAGGGCTGAAGTTGAGTCCAAACCATTCAATTGATGGGGGGAGTATGCAAGGAGCCAGGGTTTCAGCTAAGTCAGTATCCATTCCCAGGTAATGTCCTAGAGCAGGGGTCTCCAACCTGGGCAACTTTAAGACTTGTGAACTTCAACTCCCAGAGTTCCTCAAGCTGGCTGAGGAACTCTGGGAGTTGAAGTCCACAAGTCTTAAAGTTGCCCAGGTTGGAGACCCCTGTCCTAGAGTGCTCAAAACATTGCCCTACATGATCCCCATTCTTTTAAGAAAGGGAATCACTGGTCTTTATTTCAGATAGGAAATCTAAGGCTACAGCAAGAGTGTGGTTTGTCTAATAAATCCAAGGTAGACATGAAGCTTGAATGAGCAGCCTCTCAATTTGCTATTCACAATACAATCTTATGCAGGTCTACTCAAAAGTTAGCTCAAGTTTGTTTATATAAGAAAAATGTGTTGCCTCTCAACATTGCTTCCCACACAGTTTACACAAACTAGACAAAGTCTAAAACATCTTAAAACATCACTCTAGAAATTCTTGAAAAATGGTTTTATCATGTAACAATGACTCCACACATTGGGTATTATCTCAGAAAACATACCTCCCCTTTTTCAGGTTGCTATCTGCCTAACCTCAAACAGATACTTGATCTCAAAACTTCAGCAACCCTTCCAATCTGGCACTCTTTTAGAACAAAATGTCCAAAATTCCTTAGTTGCAAACCCAAAACATTTGAAAGGTGCCAGATTGGGAAAAGCCAGTGTACAAGATTGCAGACTTTAGTCTGCAATATGGCAAGCTACTGTTATGTGTGTATTGTGTACATATTTAGTATAAGGTTTTCAATGGCAGCTTTTGTGGATTTTTTATCATTCTCTTGAACTGTTTCATTGTTTAGCCCAGTGGTTTTCAATTTTGGCAACTTTTAAGATGTGTGGTCTTTTAAAACAGGAGTCTCCAACCTTGGCAACTTGAAGACTTGTGGACTTCAACTCCCAGAGTCCTGGGAGTTGAAGTCCACAGGTCTTCAAGTTGCCAAGGTTGGAGACTCCTGCTTTAAAAGATCACTCCTCTCTCCCTCTAGACAAATATAAGCAATATAGATAAGTCAACACCACCTCTTGTATTTTAATTTTTTTAAAAAAACCACTTCCTCCCATATCTCATCCCCTATCAATAATCAAATTACAAAAAACACTATCCTTTAGTTTGCATTACTGTAGTTTTTTAAATTTTTTGTTCTGTATTTGTAAACTTTAATAAAATTATTGTTAAAGAAAAAAGAAGTGGGGACTTCAATCCCAGAATTCCGCAGGCAGCATGCTAGGAATTGAAGTCCACACGTACCTTAAAGTTGCCATGGGCTGAAAAATTCTGGTTTAGCCTATCACACTGCATATATAAAAGGAGGTTTAAGTAGATGTGTGCAAACCTTCTCTTAGCCATAAATCGCAAGTTCTAAGTACTTGTGCTTTCCTCAGCCATGGTTTAATCAATGCGACAGAACTAATTAGAAGTGCACCACATCATTCACTATCATTTTCAAATCACAATAGCTCGATCAGCATAACATGTAATGCCAGTACCAAACATATGTGTATGCTTATCTCTTAAGATAACTCTTCACTATTGACAATAAGGAGATAATAACATGGAAATACATATAACTGATAAAAATTATTGGGATAATATACGTGAAGAAAAATCTAAAATACATTACATAAATGTGATGTCTTGTAAATTTTTGTCAGTATTACCTGCACAAGTATTTTGCAATGGTTGCTCCAGAGAACTTAAAAAGAAACTTTATAAATGGATGTCAAAACTTTTTTTCACTGTTGAGAAAAAATGACTTTTTTTCTTGGTCTTTAGAGCAGGGGTCTCCAACCTTGGCAACTCTGCTGGCTGGGGAATTCTGGGAGTTGAAGTCCACCAGGCTTAAAGTTGCCAAGGTTGGAGACCGCTGCTTTAGAGGACAATCAATTTGTAGTCCTCTAGTGCTATTGGACTTCCAGACTCTTTAATCACAGGCAGTGTGGAAAGCAGTGAGAATGAAGGTAGATCCAGTACAATTGTTTATAAAAATCAATTTCCTCCATCTCTTCCTTAATACATGCAAGATGAACACTTAATTATTTTTTGCTGCATATCATGGGTTTGCTTCCGGGATACTCCAATAATTTAATCCTTCCTCATAGGGGAAATAGCAATATAAACAAATTCTAAAGTATCAATTTAAACATGTACATATTTTCTACAGTTAAAAATAATATTTCAACCTATTGGCCAAGCCACAAAGAACTACCAGACGTTTTTGCTGAAAAACACACCAGTCACAAGTTCTTATGAAAGAATGAGCTTCTCCAAATTGTTAAAACTGATGTAAGTCATATAAATACACACACACGCACGCACGCACAGAAGCACCTATGCACACCCTCAGAGGAGCAAAGGCAAGAATTATTCAACATCCTTCACAAGGTAGCATTAGGCTTCTTCTGCACACTGCTGAAAGACAGAGGAAATCCTATTGCCCCCAAAAAGCCTAGGAAATCCAGACTCTACGTGACCTGACTTAGTTATTAGACAGCAGGTTTTATGGGAAGGATGAGGATATTTACAATCATTCATGCTACCTGGAGTTACAGCAAAGCTTACGCTGAATGAGGTTGCAGAGGGGAAAAGTATCATCAGGAAGTTACTCCCAGTTGTTGCCATTAAAGAGTGTTTTTTGGAAGAGCAATTTCTATACAGCATCCTCCAAAAATTTTTTAAAAAAACCAACCCACCACCTTTCAAATATGACTATGCATCCTCATATACATCAGAGAACAATGTGGCATTCAAAATGGACTGGATGCACCAAAAGGGAGGGGAGGAGAGGAGAAAGAGGAGACAAGGAGGTGGGGGGAGGGGGGAACTCACCAGGGCTGTTGGCTTCGTTTTCCAGAACGTGCAGTTCTGTGCAGTCAGCCAGGGAATGCTCAAGGCAGAGCTGAAGGAAACGGGCCTGGCTCCGAGTCACTCTCTTCAGTAAGGAAAGCAAAGCAACTGTCTGTTCGCACTCATTCCAGCCTTTGAACCAACCTGCCAATACTCCAACCTGGTCTCGAAACATCATGGTTGGTGCAAGTGAATGTCCGCGTGCAATATCGAGAACAGGGGAAAAAAATCTGTGTGGGGCACTCCCTGATATATATTTTTTTTTGCAAGGAAAAAAAAAAGTAGGAGAATCCCCTAGAAGTTCTTTTTTTTTTTCTTCCCACCCACGCCCTTTTTTAAACGTCTATTTTACAACGTTGTTAACTGCAGAAATAGGACAGATGTTCGGAGACGGATTCTGAGGTTTGCTTGCTCTTCTTCTTCTTCTTCCTCGCACGTCCAAAAAGGCCACTGGCTGCTTCTTAATTCTGCCAAGGACAATGACACATGGTGGCAAGGGAAAACAGACACACTGCTTGGTTTCTGTGTGTGGACTTGTATAGCGGTATTTCTCAACAAGGCACAGCAACGTGTGAAGATGTTGTGAGGGGATATGGGTTATGTAGCTGTTTTCTTTTTGGGTGTTTTGCTTTCCCCTCCCTCTTTGCTCTTTTCCAGTCTGGTTATTTTAGCCCAGGGCTGGCGCTGGCTCTCCTTCCTCGGGCAGCTTTCTGGACCATCCACAGTCACAGCATTCCTTGCTAGGGGAAGTGGAGAAAATAGAAGCCTTCACAACTGTTGGAGAGGAGGAGGGGATGGAGAAAGAGAGAGAGGGGGGGAAAAAAAGAATTTCGCTGTGAGATGAGACACTCTGAAAGGCAACGCTATGATTCAGCATGACAAACAACGCGGCTCACTTCCTAATATGACAGAAGGGGAAATTTGGGATCATTGATCACTGAGAGCAAGAGGGTGGGTTAGGGAGGGAGACAAGGGCTTGGTGTGTGGGGCACACACCAGGGGATTGTTTCTTCTTTTTTGTTAAAGACCACCCTCCCAAGAAATAACAGGTTCTGTGGAAAAGGAAAAGATGAGCACAGAGATAACGAGAGGCTGAAAATGCAGCCCACACACAGGCAGCAGAGGGAGTGATGGAGAAGTGCGGGCTTCACATCAGAGAGATTTAAAAGAAACCTCCCTGCTACACAGCAGTGAGGACAGAGCTCCCTGTTGCTTATTGTACATTCTAAGCAGTCTCTCCCAGTGCCCCCCCACCCCAAGACAGGAATGTACCTGGCTGGGAGAGACAGGACTGCAACTGATCATTCATGCACAAGGAGAAAAGGGGGTGGTGGGGGGGGGAGAGAACTTAACACTGCGGCTATAGATAGCTAATGCAAACCAGCCCAGGTTCTGGTGCTCTCCCCTCCTCCTCCTCCTCTTTCTCATGCCTTTCCACTCCCCAACCAGAAAGTAAGGCGGCTGAGGAGAAGGGCTGCAGCTTCAACTACAGAATTCAAGCATCTCCCAACCAGTCACCACCAGCCCCCACTGGATGTAGGCTCCAAGCAAGCAGCAGGCAGGAGACAAAAATAAACTCTCAGACACCCCCCCTCTTCTTTCCCCAAGACCACAGCACACACAGTTCAGCAGAAACCCGGAGGGGAGGTGGGGGGACCCAAGGAAACTCACTATAGATTCTCGTTTTCATACTACTTTTAAAAATCGGGGACGAACACCTCCTTTCTCCAATCAGTGCTCAACACTCACAGACTGTCCTGCATGCACTTCACACACTTATATTCACCCCCTATTTCACAAGGTGGCGTCCATCTCTCGGTTCTCTCTGCGGTTGAAATCGCTACCAAGGGCAGGTTTCTTCCAGGGGGTTGCACAAATCTACGGAAAAAGGCTTCCCCCAACCTAGCAGTCGCTCAGATGCTCCAGACTACAACTCCCATCGCCCCGGCCAAGATGGCAATGGCTACGGAAGGCAGCTATTGGAATCCTTTACACTTCTGGAGAGTTCCAAGGTGAGAGTACCGCTTGAGAGCCTAAGCCAGGAAGGGCAACGGGGGTGGGGGGAAGGTGGCGCAAGCCGGTACCTCCCCAAGCACAGATGGGTGCAGAAAAAGTAACTGTCCCAGAAAAGCAATTTTACTTTCATGGGCTTCGAGACAGTCGAAGTAGATGCGTCTTCAAAAGAACCAGATGCCTTCTAGAAGGGGTAGTAGCCCCATCAACCCCCCCCCCAAATGATCTGCCCGGAAACTTTCAGGGTATCAGAAGGAGAAGCAACAACCTTTGCTTCACAGCCGCCGCCCCCGATTGTACAAGGACGACAAGCACCGGTCCCACATAAACTTCGAGCCCGGGACTCCAAGCCCTCTCCCAGCCCAATGCAAACAGAGGGAGCCGGGCACCTCACCCGGCACTGGCTCCGGCGGCTCTTTGCTCCGTGCCACAGACACCCGCCTCCCAGCCGCGCCCCCCGGCTCTGCGTCCTTCGAGCCCCGCGACAGTCTGGCGTCCCCGGCTCCGTGCCGGGAATTCCCCCCACCACCACCACTCCCGCCCGGGTGGGCTCCTCGATAGACGGGAGTCAGGACGCCGCAGAGCAAGGGCGCTTCGCCCGTCGTTCCGCCCGACTCGCCCGCTTCCTCTCGCCCGCCCCCTCCCCTCGCGCTATGCGGAGCGCCCACCTGGCTGCCGCGCGCCCTTCTGGCCGGCCGGCCGTCCTTCTTTTGCCGGCTTCGGCTGAGCCTTCACTGAAGAAGAAGAGGAGGAAGAGGAGCCGGCGATGGAGGTGGCGGTGGAGGAGGTGGCGGCGGCGGCGCCTGGCGGTGCCCGGGCAGGGCCATGGCGAGCCCGCGCACCAGCGAAGGCGACCCCGGCGGCACGGAGTAAAGAACGGCGCTGCGTCCGGGCGCGCCGTCGGACCCGCGTCTCTCCCTCTCGCGCTCTCTCTCCCCCGCCTGCTTCTCCGGCACAAGTGAGCCGCGCGCCCCGCGGAGCCCCCGCTCCTCACATGCTAGTCATTAGCATAGCCCATGACGTCATGGCCTCGGCAGCGGAGGTGCAACGCCCCCTCCCCGAGGAGCAGGGGGCGCCTCGCATTCCTCCGCCGCTGACTCAGCCCCGGGCGAGGCGAGGCCGTGGTGGCTTTGCGCGGGGCGCGATTGGCTGCAGGGGCGGAGCGCAACTCGATTCCACCCCAGCCGGGAGCGCGGCAGAGGAGGAGGAGGAGGAGGAGGAGGGGCTCCAGCTGCTCGCTGCTGCTGTCATTCCCCAAGCCAGACGACTTTGCATTGGCGATAAAAAGGCGGCTTGTTGCGCTTCGTCTCGCGCGCCCGCACTTTTGCTGCCTCGCGAAGGACACGCCCGTCCGCAAAAGCCCCCCGGCTAAGCGTAGATGATCGCCAGGGATAGCCGCCCGCTTCTGGCCCGATACCTCTTGCCTACAGGTTGGTTCTCCTGGGTGGCACAGGGCGCCGAGATGTCCTACTTCCCTCTACCACCGCCCCCTCGACATGGTGTTTTGCAAAAACAGGCCGCTAAAAATAATAATAAATAAATAAATAAATAAAACCACCTCCCACCCTTACACAAACCTGGTCTTGGACGAGGGAGCGGTAATGAGGTATGAGAGAGAGTTTCCCTGCGTGCCGAGAAAGAAATCCCATCAAACCTCCCAGCAACATTGGAGTGCCCCCCTCTAAACGTTGCTGCATTGCAGATTGTGCTTCTCTGGTTTAAGATCAGGAGATATGTGCGGGGGTTGCAAAGAAGTCCACACGCGTCCTAACGCACCCAGCGAACGGCTGGCGCAGACCTGCACGATTATCCCAGGGTCCTCCTCACGCTGCAATGGGTTAGCCCGGCAAAAGAGAACACCTGCATCAGGTGTGTGCAAGCGTGCATGCCTGTGTAGGGAGCGAGGGGAGAGCTTCGTGCCTGCTGATAGTCATTCATAACTTCCACAAAGGGGATGTTTGGTTACCAGCTTCCTAAGAGGATGGGTGAGAGAGGACTGCAGACTTGTACCATCTTAGTAACAACACCTAGAGTGGTAAGAATTACATCAGCGAAACCTATGAGAAGCTATATAGACTTTTTGTCTGCAAAACCAGACTGTTACGTCAAGGTTCCAAGACAGTCTTATATTGTAATACTCCAAGATACTTTATCTACAACCAGCTCACAGTCCCTTCTCGCTTTATTATCTTTTGTCCTCAGAGTCTGCCAACTTTCTCTGCTTGATCTGTGCCATGTTCCAATGACGAGGGAGAAGGATTTCGAGATCTTTCAGGACAATGTTTCCCAGTCATCAAGATGCATTCATGTTCTTACAAGCTATGTGTCTGCTGCACAACCTTAGTCTCCAAACACCTTGGTGGTGGTTTTCAGGCTCTTTTCATATGTACCACCAAATGTTTCTACTGAATGTAAAAACACAGGTGAAATCTGTAAAGAGAGGGGGATGATGGTCATATTAACTGCACATAATTGGTTACATTCGGTTTAATTCATTGTAGTTTTTTTTTGTATCAACTTTCTGGGATGCAGCTAATGTGTCTCTTTGCCCCGCAAGATTGTGCACCATTGCACAGATTCAATGATGGCTCTCTTCCTGTTAATTAAAATAGGAAAACACAACACAACTAATTCTGGTTTTGTTTATAGCCCTTTTCCAATATACTACTAAAAACACTTGAGCATACCGAACAATTTCTTAAATCATTTAAATCAGTCAGTCTGAGTTGCACAATAATCTCTTTGTTCAATTGACAATAGATCTGCTCTCACTGTGTTTGACTCTAGGGCTCTGCAGCATTTTGGATCTGAAGGCAAAATGGTGTTTCACGTACTTGGTTTAAGGAGTTGCTGACAAGGGCTACTTTGACACTTTTTTAATACTTTAAACATCTTTTCCCTTCAGATGCTGTACACAGCTCTGCAACAACCCTTTTGGATTTCTGATGGGGGAGATCAAATCTCTGTTAATCTTTTAAGCTACCCATATCTTCAAATAAGACACTATTCCAGGGTGAGAAAAGGCAAGCTAGAGGCAAGATGTTACAGAGTTCAGTTCACTAATAGGTACTGTATTTTTCAGACTATAAGACGTACCTGACTATAAAATGCACCTAAATTTAGAAGAGGAAAACAACAAAAAAAAAGTTTTTGGCCTACCTTTTTTTGGGCCTTTTTTGGGCCTTTCCAGTCTTTTTTTGGCCTGCTTTCAGGGCTTTTTTGGCCTGTTTTTGAGGCTTTATTCAGCCTGTTCTTTGGTTTTTTGGCCCATTGTAGAGGCTTTTTTGGGGCCTTTTTTCTGAAAAAATGGGCCGAAAAAGCCTCAAAAATGGGCCCAAAAAGCCAAAAAAAAAACAAAACCAGGCCAAACAAAGCCCCGAAAATGGGCTGAAAAAGCCCACAAAACGGGCCAAAATAAACCTCAAAAACAGGCCCAAAAAGCCAAAAAAACAGGCTAAACAAAGCCCCGAAAATGGGCTGAAAATGCCCACAAAACGGGCCAAAAAAAGCCCGTTTTTTGGCCTGCTCAAAAACAGGCCAAAAACCTCAAAAATGGGCCAAAAAAAGGCCTGAAAAAGGCCTGAAAACAGGGCGTGCAGAGGCCAAAAAATGGCTGGTAGGTGGGCGGAGCTTCAGCAATATTCAGTCTATAAGATGCACAGACATTTTCGCCCCCTTTTGGGAGACAAAAAAGTGTGTCTTATAGTCCGAAAAATACGGTACATGTTTCCTTCCCATCTCACATAGCAACACTGAGAGAAAGAAAGAGAGAGAAAGGTGGGTGGATGAATGCATGGATGGATATAACTTTAAAATCACCTTTTGGGTAAAAAAATCTTTTTTGAGTTGTAAGGTGTGTGGATGAACAGCTTCACCTCTGTGTAGCTTTTAAGGAGTGGCTCTGACTGACCGCTGTGCTAGCCCAAAACCAGAACAACCTGCAAGAGAAGGGCTTTGCCGGGTCTCTTCCTGGAGAATAGAGATAAAGCCTGGATTGCAATAAACCTATGGAGGGCAAAACCTGAAAAGATCATTCTTATGCCTATTTGTGGGGAAAAAAATTCTTGTTTAGAATCTACTCCTGATAGTTTTGTTGAGTCTTACAGAAGCAGAGTTATGATATTCTGCAAAGGTAGAAGTCTGTTTTTACTGTTTAATTATTCATTCAATTTCTGTACCTCCCAACTCAACCAAGTGACTCTGGGTGGCTTATAATTCTAAAGTTATAAAACAATAAAAACAGTAAAACATCCAGAAAATTAATATTTATTGCTGCTTAACTTGGTCCCCATTCACATCAAAGACTCTACAACAGGCTAGGAGCTGGTTTTTAGCCAGAAAATATTGCATGTACATTATTATTCATTTGTTAGGAATGGTTTCAAAGACAGATTCCTAGGTCCTGATTGGTTTTAGTGGGTGCACTCCAGTTTTTCAAAGCCGTCTTGATCTGAGCTGCAAAAAAAATGAGTTTTTCCATTTCTCTTTATTTCCATCTACTGATTGCATTTGTGCAGTTCACATTTGATATTCCTACTTCTTTCTCATACACATACAGACAATCAAAATGAAAGGCAAGGATTTACAAAAAGATTGCATGGTTTTCCCCAAATCCATGCTTTGTATGTCATATTTTAGAAATTAAAAAGACATAATTCTTAAACATAACTGCGGTAGCCTGACTAGAGTAAGAATAGGACAGGGTAGGTTGGCATTCTATGTCTGTTTTATTCCTCCTTTGCCATGCTATTTGACTCATTTAAGTCCCTCAGAATTAAGCTGATGTTCTCTGTTATTTTGGGGGTGATCCTGACCCACATTTCTTAATTCACAATGAGTTTCAAGGGCCCATATTGTAAACCTGGGAAACTGGTGCTACTAATTCCCTTGTAAAATATACAGAAGGATTCTGGAAACACTTTTTAAAACAAGTTTTTGTGAGCAGCAGCTCACTTCATCAGATGTATACAGTGTGCAGCAGCTCATGAAGACTTATTCTTTTCCATCAAAATCATGAGTTGGAAAAGGTGCTTCTAGCCTCTTCTTGTTTTTGCCATCATAGGCTCCAACAATAATTCCCTCTATCATCTGATACTTAAAAGCATATTTGAAAATTGAGGCAAGGCTTCTGATTTCATAACTGACTAACTTTCAGTTTCCCCAACTTCTTTTCTAAATATCAAATTTAAAAACTCCCAACTATATTTTTAGGACTTCCTGAAAAAGATTGTTTTGTAAACTGTAGTGTATATTCCTGTAGTGTATGGAGCAAAGCTGGCTATGGAACTCTGGCAGTTGAAGTCCACAAGTCTTAAAGCTGCCAAGGTTGGAGACCCCTGGGTTAACCAACCTAAAAACCAAAGTTCTCAATAAAACAGAAAAGAACCACCAGCAGATGGAAAGGTTATCCACATTTCCCCACTGGTCCTGAGAGTTCCTGCTTCAGTTTTGTGTTATGGATTAAAATGCAGATGATGGAAGAAATGGATGCTAGTGAGTGAGCCTCCTCAACATTCCACTGCTGTGATTTCTGCAGGATTTTTAGGAATGCATTTTGTAAGGAGTTCTCAGATTGACCTTGGCTTGTTTCGTTGAGTCAGACTAGCCTACCAAGAGAATGGAAAATTAAACCACACCTATGCATTCCTAGGAAACAAGAGTTCACTGCTAGAGTGCACGCTTTGTATAGAAATGTGTTTAAATCCCTGGAACGTCTCTTTAAAGGATTGTTCTAAGATTCCAGAATATTGTAATCAATCAGAACTGATCGTTTTAGTCTTGGCAATTCCAAATGGTGGGAACTATGAACAAGACTTCTTGCTTGGCTCCTAATGAAAATTGTTTTGCAGCTTTGGGTAGAGCTGCTAGTTTTCCTTCGTTGAATTAACCACAGTGGGAACAGGAATACGGTTCAATGATAAAGCCCATGCTTTGGACCTAGATTCAGTTCTGGTCTCTTCTCCAGATAGCAAAGGATAAGCAATAAGCAATGTGAGGCTGCCACAAAGAAGGGTGTGTGTGTGTGTGTGTGTGTGTGTGTCAAGTTATTTTTCAAAGCAACAGAAGGCAAGACAAGAAGCAATGGATAGAAATTAATCAAGGAGAGAAACAACCTGGAATTAAGGAGAAACTTCTTAACAGGGAGAACAACTAACCAGTGGAACAGCTTGCCTTCAGAAGCTGTGGGTGCTTCATCACTGGAGGTTTTTAAGAAGAGACTGACAACTACTTGTCTGAAATGGTACAGGGTCTCCTGCTTGAACAGGGGGTTGGACTAGAACACCTCCAAGGTGCTTTCCACCTCTATTCTAATTCAGTTCCTTTGACTGAAATCTTAGACAACTGCACATAATTGGAGTAGAGATTTCTTGATTAGATGATAACAATAGGTGATATATAAACCAAGGTTCTGAGATCCAGGTTGTAAGCAATAGGGAAGGGAATTACCAGGCCCACTAGTGGTTTTAATCCTCCTTTCTTTGCATGTAACAATTTTTTCCTGATCATGGATATCTAATGCTTGGAAAATAAACATGTTTAACTTGATTCATACATCATACTAAGCCAGTTTCTGCTTCGTTGGGGCTTCTGAAATAATTCGCAATTGTCTGGGATTCAACTATCCAGCTAAGCCATATAAGCATTGGTTACAAACCACAACTAAGTTTGCAATGCATGTGACATCACTCCCTCCCACTTGCTCCCACGGCAGTCTTTGCAACCAAGAGAGTATTGCAGATAGTTTGTCCTTCAGCAGAAAAGAAAAGAAAAAAAAAACAAAACCCCGAGTTCCAGATAAGTTGTGACAAAAAACTCTGGTGTTCCCAGGATTCAGGCATTATAGCTACTCATTTGGGGAAGGCTGCTAGAGATTGGCAAAGGGCCAAGAATACAGCAGTCTTCTTAGTAGGAGAAGAATTTGCTTATAGTAGTTTGAAACATCCTTGACCTATCCTGCCAAATGAATGCATTCTTATGTCTTTCTCTCACCCCCATTTTCTAAGCCCTATAGTGAGAGTAGTTCCAAAACAGAGCTGTAGTGAAGCTCCTGAGTAAAAGCTCTACCAGGTAGAAACCATTTATGTTCTCCCTTTCCTGTGAGCACTGCTAGCCAAGATGCTGATTTCTGATGTGTGCTTAATCCCATGTCTCAGAGGGACTGCCGTCTCTAGAGCTGTAGTTACCTTGCTCAGAAGGCTGCAATCTTGTGCAAAAGGGCTTGGCTCTGTTGATGGCATGTGATTCCTGCTGGCATTTGACCTTGGGTTACTGCTGGACACAGATTTGCAGAGCAGCAGCAATAGTTCGCTGTTAGATTATTTTTGGACTGTTTTCTCTGGGTACTTGGAAGGATCAGTAGGGAGAGGTAGTTTTAGAGTCAAGTCATGACGGCCGGTTTCAACAGATAACATTTTGGTGATATTTTCCTTTCAACCATTGTAGTTGTAAGCCTATATGCCCCTCAAGTCTTGCACAAATAGACAGGTTTTTTTTTTAAAAAATTAGAATAATTGTTACCTTTCCATTTTCCAAGATAGCCACAAGTATGTGCAAAACAGGACATTTGGCCTGTATGTCTCTTATTTTAATTTTCTGCCTAAGAAATGTTATTACCAATGGTCAGGAA